TATCTTGAAGCAAACAGAAACACACCACACCAAAATCTATGGGATGCTGCAAAAGCAATTGTAAGAGGAAAGTTTACAGTGATAAAGGCCTGTTACGAAAAAAGATCCAAATAAGCAACCTAATTTTACACCTCAAGTCACTAGAAAAAGAACAAACTAAACCCAATGTTAGCAGAAGAAAGGAAATGACAAAAGTCAGAGTAGAAATAAATGAAATAGAGACCAGAAAAACAATAGAAAAGGTCAATAAAACTAAGAACTGGTTTTTTTGCAAAGGTAAAATTGCGAAACCTTTAGCTAGACTAAAAAACAGAGACTCAAGTAAATAAAACCAGAAATGAAAAAGGAGACATTACAGCTTATATCACAGAAATAGAAAGTATCATAAGAGACTAGTAAGAACACTTATATGCTAATATAACCAGAAGAAATGGATAAATTTCTAGAAACATGCAGTCTGCCAACACTGAATCATGAAGAAATAGAAAATCTGAACAGACCAATAGCAACTAAAGAGATTGAATCAGTAATCTAAAAGCTCCCCAAAAGAAAGCTCCAGGACCAAATGGCTTCACTGATGAATTCTATCAAACTTGAAAGAATTAACACTAATCCTCCAACTCTTCCAAAACATAGAAGAGGAGGGAATATTCCCAAACTCATTTTACAAGGCTAGGGTTAAAACTCTGATACCAAAGCCAGACAAGGACATTACAAGAAAATAAAATTATAGTCCAATATAGCTGAAGAATGTAGATGCAAAAATTCTTATCCAAATATTAGCAAACTGGATTCAGGAGTCCATAGAAGAATAATATACCATGATCAAGTGGGATTTATCCATAGGATTCAAGGATAGTTCAACATCTGTAAATCATTAAATGAAGTACAGTGCATGAATAGAAAGAAAGATAAATATTATGTGATCATCTCAGATGCTGAAAAAACATTTGTCAAAATATGGCATCCTTCTATGAGACAAACTCTCAACAAATTAGGTATACAAGGAACATACGTTAATATATTAAACCTTAATATAGTAAAGGTCATATATGACAAACTCATAGCTAACTTCATACTCAGCAGTGAAAAACTGAAAAGGTTTCTTTAAGATCAGGAACAAGACAAGGATGCCCACTCTCACCACTACTGTTCAACATATTACGGAAATCCTAGCTGAGCAATCAGGCAAGAGAAAGAAATAAAAGGCGTTCAATTGGAAAGGGAGAAGTAAAATTGTCTTCGCAGATGATATGATTTCATATATATAGAAAATCCTAAGATTCCACCAAAAAAACCTTAGAACTAATCAATAAATTCAGTAAACTTGCAGGATACAAAATTAACATGAACTTGAGTTTCTATGCCCTAACAATGAAATATCTGAAAAACAAAACAATCCCATTTATAATAGCATCAAAAACAATAACATTCTTAGGAATAAATTTAACCAAGGAGGTAAACAATCTCTACATTGAAAACTACAAGACTTAGATGAAAAAAACTGAAAAAGATACAAATAAATGGAATATCCTGCATTCATGAATCAGAAGAATTAATATTGTTAAAATGCCCATACCACCCAAATCCGTCTATAGATTCAGTATAATCCCTATCAAGATTCCAATGGTATTGTTCAAATAGAAAAAAAAAATACTACAAATTTTATGGAATCACGAATAGCCAAAGCAATCCTAAGAAGGAACAAAAATGAAGGCATTGCATTTCCTGATTTCAAACTATTTTGTAAAACTATAATAACCAAAAGAGGTGGTACTGGCATAAAAATTGACACATAGACCAATGCAACAGAATTGAAAGCCCATAAATAATATGGTCAGTTAATCTCATGACAAAGGAGACAAGAATATACATTGGGGAAAAGATAGTGTCTTCAATAAATGGTGCTGGGAAAACTGGACAGTTACATGCAAAAGAGTGAAACTGGACCATTACATTATACCATACACAAAAGTAAACTCATAATGGATTCAAGACCTAAATGTAAGGCCTGAAACCATACACAAAAGTAAACTCATAATGGATTCAAGACCTAAATGTAAGGCCTTTTAAACTCCTAAAAGAAAACATAAGTAATATTCTCTTTGACATCAGCTTTCACGTTTTTCTGGATATGTCCCCTTAGGCAAGGGAAACAAAAGCAAAAGTGAACTACTGGAACTACATCCAACTAAAAACTTTTACACAGTGAGAGAAACCATAAAACAAAAAAATGAAAAGGCAACCTATTGAATGGGAGAAGATATTGACAGATTATCCTATAAGGGGTTAATATCCAAAATATATAAGGAACTCATATAGTTCAACACCAAAAAAGCCCAAATAATCGGATTAAGAAATGGACAGAGGACTTGAATAGGCATTTTTCCAAAGAAGACATACAGGCAGCCAAGAGACACAGGAAAAGATGCTCAACATCGCTAATCAGGGGAATGCAAATCAAAACCACAGTGAAATATCTCACACCAGTCACAATGGCTAGTATCAAAAAGACAAGAAATAAAAGACAAGTGTTAGCAAGGACGTGGAGAAAAGGTTTCTTGGGTGCACCATTGGTGGGAATGTAAGTTGGTGCACATATGGAAAACAGTATGGAGGTTTCTCAAAAAGTTAAGGATAGAAATATTATATGATCCAGTAATTTTACTGCTGAGTATTTCCCTAAAAGAAACCCAAGCCTCTAATTTGAAAAGTTATATACACCCTTACATTTACTGTGGCATTATTTACAATAGTCAAGATATGGAAGCAGCCCAAATATCTATTGATAGATGAATGGGTAAAGAACAAGTAGTGTATGTGTACAGTGAATGTTAGCCATAGAAAAGAACGAAATCTTGCCATTCACAACAACGTGGTGGACCTTTCTCAGAGAAAGACAAATACCATATGATTTCACTTCTATAGAGAATCTAAAAAATGAAACAAACACAGAAACCTGGAAAGTCTCTTAAATACAGAGAACAAACTGGTGGTTGTTGAGGTGGGGGAGGGGGAAGGGTGAAATAGTTGCAGGGGATTAAGAGGTACAAACTTGCATTTACAAAATAAATAAGTTGCAGGGGTGAAAAGTACAGATAAGGAATATAGTCAATAATATGATAACTGTATGATGACAGATGGTAACTACACTTACCTTGGTGTGCACTGCATAATGGATACAATTGTTGAGTCACTGTTATACACCTGAAACTAATATTAACAGTGTCAACTATACTTCAATAAAAAAATAAGAAATAGAAAAATGTATTCCAACAGAAAAAAAATTGTGTCAGCTGGATTTTTGTAAATCCAAATCATTTTATAATGATCCTAGAGCTGCTTATCATTTTTAAAGTCATTTTGTGATGAATCTTTTGTAAAGTGAATAGTTATGGGGTTTATGTAAATGCAGATTTTGAAGTGTTTCTGAAAAGATGGAAGCCAACTAATCCTTTCTGTGGTATGTTGAAACACATTTGAAATGAATCTTTATTTCATCTTAGAAAGCCTTTTTAAAAAAATTACTATTAGAATATGATTACTTGTGGTCAGTCCTCCACCTTGTGTTGGCTCTGAGAGGAGGAGGTGGTCTTAGGCAGTGATGGACCCTCCCTCCATTTTACCTCCTTACCCTGTCGCTCGTAATGAGGCATCAAATATCCTCTCACTCTGTGGGACACCAGAGCCACTGCCCCTTCTCCTGGATGCCCAGTCTTGTTTGGTGGGAGACCGTGAGGACGCCAGGACTCAGGGTTCCTGGCTCAAAGGGCTCTTGCTGCCTGTTGGGTTTTAGTTTGCAGTCCTGTGTGCTTCCCTCTCTTATGGCCACGTCCCTAGTTGTCAATAAAATATTTCCTGACAAAAAAAAAAAAAAAGAATATGATTACTTGTGAAGACCTTTAGAAAATACCTAGGTTGCCTGGCAAATTTTTACTTTAGAACTTAAGGATAACAATACAGTAAGAGCTAAGTTATTAAATCCTTACTCTCTACCATACACAGTTCTAGGTGCTTTATAAACTTTTAATTTGTTTAATCCTCACAGTGGTCTTATTAGGTAAGGTATTCTTATTATTCCCATTTTATAGATGAGGAAACCAAGGCTTTAGAGAAATGATATAATTCGCCCAAGGTTTTACAAGCCAGCATATGACAGCTGGGATTTAACTCTCTGTGTCTGACTCCAAAGCCCAAACACCACATTTCCTTGTGAACTCACACTTTATAAATGAGAGCTGGATTTGCAGGAAAGGTTATTTTGTAAATGATTAATTTTTAAAGTTGTAAAGTCATTGATTATATGAACAGTTCCTCCCCCCCACCCCCCCCTTTGGAGGAGTGGGTATATTTGTGAAATCTTAGTTTTCTTAGTATTTCAAGAATTACTAGTTTTACCAGTTTCTGGAAGGGGGTTGAGGGTATATAATAGTATGCTTTGGTCCCAGATAAACTGCCACAGAATTCAGAGCTATCTATATTATAAATCAATTCTGTTTTTTTTTAAATGATAGTCATATGTTCAGACTGACGAGCATTTAAAATTTGTTTAAAGTTTTCAAATAAAGCAGGTTTCCCTCCTTATTCCATTATGTTTTGGAGTCCTCTAGTGTTTTACATAATACATTCAAGTGTGTGAATATATTAATACCATGTACTTTATCTGATTTATGTAATCAAAAGGTTTTACGGATTTAAATATTGATAGTCTTATTAGCATATAAGGAATACATGGTTAATGAAATACCACCGTGTGAAGCAGAAGAGATTCAGTTGAGTATATAAGGCAGTTTTCCTACCTGTGCCTCTACTTTGTTACTCAAGTGAGAGCACTTCCCCAGTTGAGATTGTTTGGGTTTTGTTAGCTCTTGCCTTGAGGAAATGCAGTTGTTCTTCTCATTATTAGGTTAGATTAAGAAAAACCTCTTCCTTTTGAAGCAGTTTGAAGCTGGATAATGGAATGTTGGTGTTAATGGATTTTATTTTTAACCTCCAAACAGAGCAGCATTTTGCAGATGTTGTACTTAGTGAAGAATTTCTCAATCTCGGCATTGAACAAGTGTGCAGCTTAATCTCAAGTGACAAACTTACCATCTCCTCAGAAGAGAAGGTAATTAAATTGTTCTTTTCTGGTATATTGTGATGTAGTACTTTTCCTTTCTTTATTTCACTTTGTTTCGTAACTTTGTAATTCTGTATGTGTAGTGACAGCCAGTGATCTTTGATCTGGAAGTTATTAGAAACTCAACTAGTTAACTTGTTGATTGTGCAAATTACTGTTTCTTCACTCCATAGGAAGTTCCCTGAATTCCTAGACATTAGAGTTTTGTACTTGACCCCCACAGTAAGAACTGGCACATGTTAAACTGTTTGAAACTAGTCCTTTGGTGCTGGGTTTCTTCCCAAAGCTAGATGCCTATAAAAATTGTGATCTAAATGCAGTATTTCTCAAACCAAAGTAATTTTACTGTCCTGTGAGTTGGAAGAAGTTACCAGGGATAACAGAGTAGTAGCTTGTTCTAGACTGAACATTCTTTTTTTTTTTTTTTTTTTTTATTTGAGAGAGAGAGAATGAGAGACAGAGAGCATGAGAGGGAGGAGGGTCAGAGGGAGAAGCAGACTCCCTGCCGAGCAGGGAGCCCGATGCGGGACTCGATCCAGGGACTCCAGGATCATTACCTGAGCCGAAGGCAGTCGCTTAACCAACTGAGCCACCCAGGCGCCCCTCTTTTTTTTCTTTTAAGATTTTATTTATTTGAGAGAGAGAGAGAGAGTGAGCATGAGAGCAGGGGGGAGGGGCAGAGAGAGATGGATAAGCAGACTCGCTGCTGAGCAGGGAGCCCAACGTGGGACTCGATCCCAGGACCCTGGGACCATGACCTGAGCTGAAGGCAGACGCTTAAGCGACTGAGCCGTCCGGGCGCCCTATACTGAACATTCTTGACCATACTCTTCCTTTAAATTGATCTCCTGCCACTCATAGCCCACCCCTACCAGCACTTCCCTTCTCCCTTCCAGAGAGCAGCTGCTTTGTCTGGCTGTAGCCTCCCTCTCCACATTTTGAGTTGCCTTTGTCAGCCACCTGCACCTTTTTTTTTTATGATTTATTTATTTATTTGAGAGAGAGGGAGAGAAAATCTCAAGCAGACTCTGTGCTGAGGATGAAGCCTGATGTGGGGCTTAATCTCACAACCCTGAGATCACGACCTGAGCTGAAATCAGGAGTCGTCCGCTTAACTGACTGAGCCACCTAGGCGCCCCCCCACTTTCTCTTCTCTTAGTGGGTTTTATTCTTTGGGTCGGTGTTGTATTCTTTGGGAATCAGGACACAAAAGCTTGTGAACACACTGAGTTTGGAGAAACTGAAACATTTTTTCCTTTGTGTGCTTTGCATTTAAAGTTGTATGAAATTTAGCTTTATTCTTCAAAGATATCCATCCTGCCTGGGCATAAAAAGGCACATTTACTATTATATTTACCATATGAAAAAAGTATGTGAGAAGTGGTTGTTGTATGTATAATCTTAGCACTTCAGAAATATAAAGAAGAGGAAGACATTACTAGTCATATTAAGAGACATGTATTGAGTGCCTGCTGAGTACCGGACACTGCCATAGCGTCACAGATACGGAAATATTAAGAAAACAGCAATCTTTACTCCACAGACTAGAGGAACAACAAGTGGGCTAAATTAGTGATTATGGAATGCTGTAGAGGGTACTTAGGAGCATTTCGTCATTCCTGGGATGGGCATGGCAGTTCAGCCTGTCTCACATGTAGGATCCAAGTTCTAAAAATGAGTATGAGTTTGCTGGGGAAGTCTGGATGGGTGGGAATGGGAAGGGCATTCCAGGTAGAGGTAGAATACGTAAATGTAAAAAAAGGCGTGAAAGAATAATGGCATTACGTTGGTTCTGTATGGTTAGAGTTTAGAATATGTTTGGCAAAGTGGTAGGAGATAAGATGGGAAGATGACATAAAATATCTTCTCAGCCATATTAAAGAACCTTGACTTCATCCTAGTGATGAGGAGCCTTTAAAGGGTTTTAAGTGGTAGGACAATGTCATGATAATACCTATGTAATAGAAATATCATGAAAGCTGTTCTGATTTTCTACTGCTGCATAACAAGCCACCCCAAAGTGTAGTGACACAAAACAATAACCATTTTCTTATACTCAAAATTCTGTGGGCAGAATTCATTCAGGGCATATTGGGACAGCTTATCTCTGCTCTGTAGTGTCTGGGGCTTCTGCTGGCTTGGCTTGAATGTCTGGAGATACCAGCATGATACCAGATGAGCCATACTGGAGCTTCAGTCCGTCTGCACATGGTATCTTATGTCTCCAGAATATCCACAGTGGCTCCTTCATTCACTTCTCTGGCTCCTGGGCTGGAGTTTGGTTGGTATCTCCTTCCACCTCTGTCCTCTTCCCCCTGGCCCTTCCCTGCCCTCCCTCTCTGTGGCTAGTTTAGGTTCCTCATAGCATGGTGATCTCAAGTAATCAGACTTCTTGCATGACATCTGTCTTCCCCCAAATGAGCATTTCAAGAGACCTGAGTGAAAACTGAAAGGCTTCTTTTTTTTCTTTTAAGATTTTATTTATTTATTTGACAGAGAGAGACACAGCGAGAGAGGGAACACAAGCAGGGGGAGTGGGAGAGGGAGAAGCAGGCTTCCCACCGAGCAGGGAGCCCAATGTGGGGCTCGATCCCAGGACCCTGGGATCATGACCTGAGCCGAAGGCAGACACTCAACAACTGAGCCACCCAGGCGCCCCAAAAGGCTTCTTATCACCCGGCTTTCAGAAGTCACACAACACTGCTTCTGCTGCTTTTTTTCGGGGGGGGGGGGTTTACACAGGGCCAACTTAGATTCCCTACAGCAGGTTTACTATATAAAGTATGGATACTCAGAGATGTGGTTTATTACGGGACCATTTTGGAGGCCAGCTGTCACAGTGGTGTGTGCTGAATGAACCAAAAGTGGGGTATGGGTCAGATAGGAGGATGTTGAAGTCATACCATTGAGCAATAGGATCTGATGTAGGATGGTTGAAACAGGTGGAGAAGAGAGAGCAGAGGAGCAGAGGTGAGAAATAGTAGATAGAATTGACAGGATTCTTTTTATTTCTAGCACCCAACACATAGAGGTACTTGGTAGGTACCTGAATTAAAGAGGCATATTAATTATAATGTAGATTATTTTTAGTTTCTTGCTCTATTCCTGCATCAGCAGAAGTTTTGTTTCCAATAATCCACTTACCTATCATCAAGCATTTTCTACAAGCCTTTAAGAATTACTGGGTCATCAGCCTGGAAGGAAATTATATAGCCAAATACGGTCTTTCTATTAGCTTATTAGCTTTTTCATAGGTATATGTTATTAAGTTGTAATGCCCTTATTTCGTTTTTTAAGAAAATTCAAAAATACTAGATTTTAATATATTCCATTGTGAGAAAAGAGAGTTCATCTTTTCTGCAGACCCTTGATTTAGAAGTGTACGGTTAACATTTATTCATAAACCTAAAGAAAAAGCCAAAAATAGTTGTTTATAAGGGCATGCGATTTTCATTCCACAATATCAATTTGCTTTATTATTTTGGGTGCTTTATTCCAAAGAGACTTGAGATTTAAATCTAGGTAAGTTAAAACCAAATTCAAATTAGGAAGGTTATCAACAGGGAATTAGATTATGTTTCATCAGATTATCACAGCTACCACTTAAGTTCAAGAAGATTAGATAATGTATTTGGTGAAATGCTTAGTAAATACCAAAAGAAAAATACTTAATACATAAAAGTACTGAAGGTACTTACTAAATTAAAAGTAGAACTACCATATGATCCAGCAATTCCACTTCTGGTTATATCCAAAGGAAATGAAAGCAGAATCTTGAAGAGACATCAGCACTCCCATGTGCATTGGTTTATTGCAGTATTATTCACAAGAGCCAAAATATAGAAACAACCTAGTGTCCATCAGTGGATGAATGGATAAAGAAGATATCTCACAACACACACACACACACACACACACACACACACACACACACACACTGGAATATTATTCAACCACGAGAAAGGAGGAAATACTGCCATTTGTGACAACATGTGTGGACCTTGAGGGCATTATGCTAAGTGAAATAAGTCAGAAAAAAACAAATGCTGTATAATATCACTTATATATGGAATCTAAATAAACTGAACTCATAGAAACAAAGTACAGTGGTGGTTACATGGGGTTGGGGATGGGAGAAATGAGGAGATGTTGGTGAAAGGGTACAAACTTCTGGTTATAAGATGAGTAAGTCCTGGGGAATGTATAGTATGGTGATTATAGTTAACAAACTGTATTATATATTTGAAAGTGGCTAAGAGAGTAGATCTTAAATGTTCTTACCACAAAGAAGAAGAAGTAATTATGTGACATGATGAAGGTATTAGCTAAAACTATGATGTCATCATTTTGCAGTGTATAAATATATCAAATGAACATCTTAAACTTACACAATGTTATCTGTCAATTATATTTCAGTGAAGCTGGAAAAAAATAAAGTACTTACAAATACCAAATTAAAAGAAAGAGATAGACTGAATAGCTTTTTAAGTACAGCACAGGTCAGGATTTTGAAAAATTTGAGCTATGTATTAAACTTGGATGTCTTAGCAAGAACAGTGAATAAAATGTAATCTCTTCATACTTCATTCAGATGCCGTGGTACATAACTCATTCCTTATTTTTCTTTCCCCCATATATTCTGCAAGGTATTTGAAGCAGTAATAGCTTGGGTAAACCATGACAAGGATGTAAGGCAAGAATTTATGGCTCGGCTGATGGAACATGTGCGGTTACCTTTGCTTCCTCGGGAATATTTAGTTCAGGTAAAAGCATATGCAAAACACATGAATACACATAGCACTTCGTCACTGGTGGCACTTTGTCACTGGGCTGACAGCATGTAGATGCCTGTTACACGGTGGTAAGACCTGCAGAATACAGATCCACGGGGCACAGGACAGAGGACAGTAAAGGCACCTGCAGTCCTTGGCAGCTGCTCCTTCTTCGACCACTCCCCATTCTTAGAAATTTGCTTCCCCCTATTTTTGATGTGGGCAAGCAAATGCTAGAGCTTATCCAGGCAGGATTTGTGGTCATTTACAAGTAAATAAATGCACCTGTGCCTCTGTGTCCCTGCTCTGCATCTTCTTAGCTTTTCTTTTGATAGCTTCTGATTGCTCTGCAGAAATGGAATTTTGACATTTGACCCAAATAGTATTTAATTCTAATTCACAGTTTTACAGTGGCGTGCCTTTGGTTTCTAATCTGAGGAAAACTGGGGTATTTGAAATAAGTAGAAATAAATGGATTTTAGCAGTCTGTGAACAATTTTGAATTTATTTTTTTATTATTAGCATCCTACTAGGAACATTTCAACATTTTTTTTTTTTTAAAGATTTTATTTATTTATTTGAGAGAAAGAGAATGAGAGACAGAAAGCACGAAAGGGACGAGGGCAGAGGGAGAAGCAGACCCCCTGCTGAGCAGGGAGCCCGATGCGGGACTCGATCCCTGGACTCCAGGATCATGACCTGAGCCGAAGGCAGTCACTTAACCAACTGAGCCACCCAGGCGCCCTCAACATTTTTATAATTGAAACCATTTAAGGAAACATTCTTTATTAAGAGATTCAATCTGAGCATTTTAGGATTTCTTGAAGCCTCATTATTTGTTGTGATCGCGTAATCATTGGCACTCCACTGTTAAGAAAATGAACAGAAAAATCTGTCCTGCATTTGAGGTCAGGAATAGCAGCGACAAGATTTATTTGTGGTGTAGGCATGTTGGTATAGGTATTTTGAATCCCTTTTTTGGATATTTTATTTGCCTTTTTGTGCTTGAAAAATGTCTTTAATTTATTAGTATCGCCTACTCCACCTGAAGAACTCATTATCTAAATTTTTTTCTTACTCTTTGGCTTGACATTTAAAGATAAGAAATAGATGAATATACCCAGGAAAAAAAAAGAGAGAGAGATAGGTGAATATAGTATTATCTAAAGATTATTTTATAGCTGGTGTTGAGGTATATCATTTTGATTGCAGTTCTTCTCTTTATTACTTACATATGTTTTTCTCTGCAGACCAGATACTTGAGAATTTTTTTGGCTTCATTTATTTTTCTCTTAGTGATATTCATAAACTTTCCTTTTGAAGGAAAAGCCTGAACCAGAGAGGATAGTTATTACTTTTTTCCCTCTTCTTTACTTCTGTTTCTTTGCCAGTTTTATCATGAAATAAGTTGTCCCCGTCATGGAGTATGTCTTATTTCTTCTTACAGAGGGTCGAAGAGGAAGCATTGGTCAAGAATAGCAGTGCTTGCAAAGATTACCTCATTGAAGCTATGAAGTATCATTTGCTGCCAACAGAACAGCGTATATTAATGAAGAGTGTTCGGACCCGACTGAGGACACCCATGAACCTTCCCAAAGTAGGATCTATTGTTCACACTTGTTATTACTTCATCTGAAAGGCCCATAGTGAGGCTGTTAATATTTTTACCCACCTGAATTTCCATGTGCCTGAGAATTCATTGTAGTGTATATAATTCAACTTCTCTTTTGGGTCTGTGTGTAGAGGGTGGGGATTGTTTGGTTCATTTAATCTTTATAAACCACATGATGTTCACTGTTCTGGAACAGAAAGCAACTGATTTTTGTCCCTTCAGAGTTTTATTAGCTTTAGTTATAGTAGAAAGGAAAATCAGAGTAGGTAGAAAGATTTGTCTGTAAGCTATGTGTTTAGGTAATAACTGAAAACCAAGCAGTTTCACAGAATTACATATTAGAGTTAAGGCTGATAAACAGCTTGTTCGGTTCATTTCCTTCATCTTCCCTGTTGTATACTCTCTGACAGTTCATTCATGCATCATCTGTAGCCATTTCATTATGTCTCCCCTCTGTTGTCCCAGATCACCAGTGTTCACATTTCCCTTGTGTGAGAGTTCATATTCTACCTTTATCTTTTTAGTTGAGCCATTTATGTTTTACTGATTTAATTTTCCTTACAGAATAACCCCGCATTTCTGTCTCTGCAGTTTCTTTTGCCTTTTTCCATCTTCACGGTACTAGAAAACCAGCACTTTATGCGTCATTTTGTGTATGGTCTAATCAGAATGATCCATAATATAATGCTTTTATTTATGTATTTATTTTTAGCTCTTGTATGTGTGTGGGGCAATGATGGATTAAGAAATAAGAATTAATCTGTTACCCATTGTTTTCTTACGTCATCTTTAGTTACCACTCTGTCCTTTCCATGAAATTATGTCTTTTAAATTCTTTCACTTAATGCTTTCACTTAGTGGTTTTTCAAGTTTTATTTTTGGAATGTACATTTTTCATTTCTTCAAATCTATATTGGTATTGTTTTTCTGTTCTGCCCAGTGTTAATACCAGTTCTCAATTTAGAACCAACTGTGTATTTTGCAAGTATGCTATTTACTCCTTTTTCTAGATCATTAGTAAATATTTTAATTTAGAATGGACCTCAGCACTCTTCCTGGTGACACCCTGCTAGAAATACCCACTCACTGACATAGTCCATTTGTAGAAAATTTCAGTCCATAGGATTATGTTTATTATCTAAGCCAAAAATAAGTAATTTGGCCTATAACATCCAGTGAGAGTCAGGATCAAATAGATTCAAATTTGGCATGACTTTTTTTTTTTTAACATCCCTTTGCGTGTTACTCATCATTTTGTCGTCTCCTAGAGGTTTGGATGCTTTTCTCAAAATATTCTAAATTTTTACTCAGAATTATTATCACGTAGAAGGTATTTACAAGGCATTCACTTCCTACCCTGTTTTGAAAATTGGTATTTGCCGTTTTTAAATTTTCTGATCTCTCCTCAGTTCTCCAAGATTTTTCAAAAATAATTGTAAGTGGCTCAGTAAGTACATTAGCTAGTTCCCTTAACACTTTAGTATGCATGCCATCCGGGTCTGCTGATTTTATAAATGTTTACATTTTCCAAATACCCTTTTACCTGCTTTTATAAATAGCCATCTTTATAAGTCTACATCACTTCATATTTGTCCATATTATTTGGTGTCAGTTTTTGTTCTTAAAAAAAAAAAGATTTATAAAGTGTTCATGGTCTTAGCCCATTTAAATTACCATTTCTTTTTATGCTAGTTTTTTTCAGCATCCTTCTAAGTAGTTTATTTTATCTTTAACACTTTTTTAAACATTCCATATTTGTAAAAGTTCTCTTTTTGTGTATTCCTTCTTCTGGCATCTTTAGTTTTGCTGTCTTTAATATGCTGCTATGACCTTTAGAGTGAAAACTCTTTTCCAATTTCTGGAATAAACATGTCACTTTTGGAAACTTTCTGGAGTTCTTGGTAAAGTCCTATCAAGTATTTTATCTTCTCTTTTATAGAGTTGTGATCATCTGTTCAGTTTTGTTGTTTCTCGGCTTTTCTGGTTGTGGCTTTGGAGTGGCCCTTCCAACTCTATGTATACTTCTGGATTTCTCAATTTTTTGGCTTTTATTTTGTGGTGGGCATACTATCCAAGAAGGTTCTCATTCATTCTGCTCTCTCGGGTGGCTAGGGAGGAGGAGCAGCAGACTTGGCAGATGGCAGGAAACTCCACTGTTGCTTTGGCTTTGCATTTGCATGATCCCTTCTCAGAATTTATTTATCTACACATATTTTTGAAAAGATGCTTGTATCGGATGCTCTTTCAGCAACACTGTCATGTTAGAATGGTTATATTCAACATTAATTCTGAGTAGGTAGGTAAGAATGAAGCGAAGATTAATTTCTCATGCTTACGTATTTCAAAATAATGATGTATTTTATCATAGTAATAAGTCAAATCAGACAAAATGTGGTCGTAGTGCTAAGGAAACTTGTGTAATATTTAGTAATATTTCTACCATGACAGTGACTTAGTACTTTTTATATTAGGCTCTGATTCTGTGGACTCATACAGATTAGCATGAATGATTCTTTTTATATCTCAGACATTAGTTTTGCATCTTCAATAAACAATATTGGGATTGTGTTAGGCACTCTTGGATTTGGACATCGTAATGAGAAACTACGTTTGCTACTGTACTTTGTTGCTTTTTCACTTTGGAATCTGTATTTTTACAAGCGTTATCATATTATTTCTGTGTATGTATTTTTCTCTATTCAGGATATCTTTTGAAATTTCCAATTGGAAAATTAATGAAACTTGATTTTTCAGGAGGCATTTTGTAACTAATATTTAATAGGTGAAGAAAATGAAAAAATAAAGTTTAATCTACATTTTAGGATGGTCGCTTGAATATGTTTAACTCCCTACTCCTTGCCTTCCTTAAATATTATGTCACATTTAACTTTTCCATACAAAAAAATGTTCCCAGTTTTCTATTCCTTTACATTAGCATAATTAGTTTGGTGTTTCTCCAATGAGATCAGATGCCTTTTACAAATAACTGGGGTGTCAGGTCATGATCAACTCTTTTGATGGTTAGCAACGTGGTTTTTTTTTTAAAGGTTTTATTTATTTATTTGACAGAGAGAGAGAGAGATAGCGAGAGCAGGAACACAAGCAGGGGGAGTGGGAGAGCGAGAAGCAGGCTTCCTGCCAAGCAGGGAGCCCGATGTGGGACTCGATCCCAGGACCCTGGGATCATGACCTGAGCGGAAGGCAGACACTTAACGACTGAGCCACCCAGGCGCCCAGCAACGTGGTTTTTGATGCAGTCTCTTGATCTCATACAAATATCCCTGCTCTCTTGTGTTCCCATTATCCATTCTTTGTCCCTGTTCTGTGATACCTGGAGTCACGAATCCTCAACTCATTCTACTGTTCTTGGCTGAGTGCAGGACAGATAATACTGCTGCTCTCTGTATTCAGTAGTGTACTCTCCCTTCCATCCTCACTGTGATGTGTAGAAGGGAGCTACTGCACGGAAAACACGAGGTTCAAAGCTTGAGAATCACGAAATCTAGCAAATCAGTATTGTTTCTCAAGGACTTTTTGAAAAGCATTCCCTTCAGAGATTTGTTCTTCAAGTGACCTTCAGAGATGTTAACCAAGCCTCTCTTAACTACTGCCTAACTGCGAGGCAGTGTTTAGAAGTTTAAATGCTGATCGATCTTACATAAATAGCTGGATATGAGATTGATCTTTCTGTCTGTTCTACCTCTGTGATTTTACAACCTTGCCTTTCTTCTCCCCCCACCCACTTTTTTCCCCTTGGGTAAAAGCGGGGAGAATATTGCGGATTTTCTTAATTCTTCCTTTTACTTATTTGCATCAGCATCAGAAGAATGACACATCTGAAAAAAAATCATATAATCGGTCTATGCTCAGTCTTCTTTTTTAAGACCTTTAAAATTTCTTCTATTCTCCAGTTAATACATTGCTAAAAGAGGCTTCTTTTTGGAAACTTGGGATTTACTCTGATTCAGGAATCCTGTTTTCTCTGTACCCATATTTCTGTAGTTCTAAGTACAGGTAGGTCATTGCTTCATTAAGGTTACAAACCTCCCCTTTTTGTGTGTATGAGTCATTCCATCTTCTTTTGCTTTGATTTTTTATTTCCTTTGAACATCTGTTTTCTCCTATCATCACATCATCTTTCCCCCCGGGTCCTTGCCATTCTTTAAAGTTTTCCATGTGTGATATCATTAACTTTTATGTTCTTCCGATTTGATGGCTGTGTTTTCAGTGTTGCCAAAGAGTGCCCCTTTGTACTCAGTAAAAGACAAACCCAGTGACAGCTAAATTCCATCTGTCTCTCAAGGTTCCACCCCCTCCAGGAAGCTTTCACTGAACTATGGCAACATTCCATTTTTTGATCAGCATTAGTGATTAATGTCTATACTAATCATACACCTTTTTGGTCATACATAATTGTATATTGTTCTTGAATTACTTCATGGGTCTTGTCTCCTTAGTGAGATCTATAAGCTCTTGGGAGGTAGAGACCATGTCTTATATTTCTTATGTGTATGACACCCAGCACAGTTCTGGACAAATATAGATGATAGGCACTTAGTAAATAGTTGGATTGAGTTGAATTGAAGAAATTGGTAGACCTTGTTTATTCTTAGCACTAGCCTATTGTACCTTCATTCATTAGGATTTCTAGTATCTCCATTATCTGTCCTTTAGGGTGGTTTATTTGTGTGGCATCAAGGGAGGTCTCTACTTGAGATCTAGGAATGTGTGCTCTCTTGTGAACTCCAATTCAACTACTCCCCCTTTTTCAATAGTTTTTTTTTTTTTTTACCCCTTTTTTCATGTTTCTTTTAATACCTTACTGCCCTTTTCATTTCACCTACCCACTAACATAAATTTCACTTCTGTCTGTTCTCCTGGATTGTGGAGACCTAATCCCTGGTCGTTACGAAGCCAGGGTCTAGTTTATAGCAAGCCCTCTGACCTCTTGCAGCCTTGCCAGTGCTACTGCCTGCTGTTTTTGGCTTTAATACTGCTTTTGCTTGAAGGATCAGAAACATATTCTAGTTTCTGAAATCCTTATTTTTGACTAAATGTGCTAGATAATAGAACTGTAGTTCTAACATGTGCCCCCTCTGTTGATGTTTATTAAGTGTTGATTAGGTGGTTGTTTTTCCCCAGCTCACCCTACCATCTTCATCCTAACACTCTTCTCATCAGTGTCTTTGTAAGACATTTTAAATCCCTCCATATGCAATAGTTGTTTATTCAAGTGCTTACATTTCTGCCCTTCCAGTTGATGGTGGTAGTTGGGGGCCAGGCACCAAAGGCTATCCGAAGTGTGGAATGCTATGACTTTAAAGAAGAGCGATGGCACCAAGTAGCAGAATTACCTTCCAGGAGATGTAGGGCAGGTAAGCATGATGCATTCTGGTCATTTCTGTGCTGCTGGGTCATTGGGAGCTTCCCTCTCAGGTCTTATTTTATTTATTAGAAGAATCTTTATTAGAAAAGCTTTGATTAAAATAGATGTGTCATTAATGCCCCAAGATATTGTTGCAGATAGCCACTCAGTCTTCACCTTTACATACCTTTCTGATTCTCTAGTATAAGGTGGCATAGCTAGCAATTTGCTGGATATTTTCCTGGTTACCTTTAATGAAGTATTGAAAAATAATTCTTTAGGTTGGGACCCTTTGTTCTAAGATATTCCTGACTTTGCTATAATCCACAGTTAGTTGCCTTCTTCCAGGCATGCATTTTATAAACATTTGTTGAAATAGACCTTATTTAGCCAAAACTGCAAGCAGAAAGGCAGTTGTAAACCCTAAGCGTCCTTCCTGGGACTCAAACTTGGGTCCATAATTCATAGCTCCCATAGCAAAATAGAAGGTAGTACTTTAGCAGTATATCTTGGTGATGGTTACATATCAGCATAGTTACCTCATTCAATTTATTTATTTAATCTTATGTTAATCCCCATACATTACATCATTAGTTCTAGATGAAGTGTTCCATGATTCATTGTTCATGCACAACACCCAGTGCTCCATGCAGAACGTGCCCTCCTCAATACCCACCACCAGGCCAACCCATCCCCCCACCCCCCTCCCCTCTAGAACCCTCAGTTTGTTTTTCAGAGTCCATCGTCTCTCATGGTTCGTCCACCCCTCCGATTTCCCCCGCTTCATTCCTCCCCTCCCGCTACCTTCTTCTTCTTTTTTTTTTCTTAACATATCTTGCATTATTTGTCTCAGAGGTACAGATCTGAGATTCAACAGTCCTGCACAATTCACAGCGCTTAACAGAGCACATACCCTCCCCAGTGTCTATCACCCAGTCACCCCATCCCTCCCACCCCACCCAGTTACCTCATTCTTTAAGAGCTGTTTAATATTTGGGGGTGGGGGTCCTGGATGTGGTATAGTTTTTGTTAATTTTTAATTGAACATTAAAATTGTTTTTAATCTTATGTTATAAACAGTGCTACAGTGAATCCCTTACACATATATCATTATGTACATGTGCCAATATATTTTAGTGGGGTAAAACTCTAGAAATTAATTCCTGATTCAAAGGGTATCCTAAGAGGAAACACCAATTATTACTACCACTAATAGTGAAATACGAAGGTGCCCATTTCCCTACATTCCCAGCAACACCTTGTGATTAAATGTTTTGAGTTTTGCCACTCTGGTAGATGGAAAATGTTATCTTCTTTTATTATGAGGAAAGTTCGTCTTTCTGAGTTGTCAGTTTATGATTTTTGCCATTTTTTTATTATTTCATTGGCTTGACAGATATATGGTAAGGAAAGTATCATTTTTGTCTGTCATATGTGGTGTGAATATTTGTATTGATCTTTTCTTTTTTGATTTTACTTGTATTATTTTCACCATATAAAATTTTTGCCATTTTATGAAGTCCTGTACATCAGTTTGCCTTTGGATTTAAGGATTTGTTTATTGTGTAGAAAAGCCTTATTCAAAACTATTTGTGTGTGTGTGTGTGTACATATATATGTTTTTTATTTAAGTTAAAAAATTATTTTTAAACTTTTTATGTTGAGGTAATTTTACATTTAGAGAAGAGTTGCAAAATACAGTGTTCTGATATATTCATTCTTTAATATTAATATCTTACACAACTGTGATACAATTTTCAAAACTATGAAATTAGCACTGGTACATTACTATTAACTAAACTACAGACTTCATATTTTATGAGTTTTTTCATTAGTGTCCTTATTCTGTTTCAGATCCCATATTGCATTTAATTGTCATATTTTCTTAGTCTCTTCTGATCTGTGATAGCTCCATAGTCTTTCCTTATCTTTCATGCCCTTGATTCTTTGGTCAGCTGTTCTGAAGAATGTCTCTCAGTTTGATGTTTTCTCATGATTAGATGGAGGTTATCATGATTCTCTCTGGTGACATTAACCTCAGTCACTTGGTGAAGGTGGTGTCTGCTAGGTTTCTCCCCTAAAACAAAATTATATTTTTAAAATATGAATTTTTCTAGTATTTGCAGAGTTTTAATTTTTATATTCATATCAAAACATCTAGACTTTATTTTGATATAAGAAGTAAGATGTGGAATTTGTTTTTTTAATGGTAGCCAGTTGTCCAAAGATTTTTTATTGGCTAATCCAACTGTTTCCATTCATTTGAAGTGCTGCCTTTATCATATACTAAGTTTCTACATTTATTTGGTTTTATTCTAAATATTCTGTTCTGTTCCATTGACTCGTCTTGTCTATTTATGCATCAAAACAGAGCAGTTATCATTATAATTACTGTGCTTTATAATTTGTTTTAAGATATGATGGGACTAGTTACATGACTGGTGATAGGACTTGTATCTTCTTTCTTCAGTAGGTTTTTAACATTTTCTTCATATGGTTTTGTACGTTTCTTGGCAAGTTTATTCTTAGGTATTTTATCTTTATTGTTACTCTTGGAGTCTTCCCTGATATTTATAACTGGTTTCTTACTTTGTATCTGATTCCTGATTCAGTTTCCTTTTTATTGCACCATAACTCATTAGACTGGGTGCATTCCGAAGTGTACTGTTCATGCATGAATTTTACCTTCATTGTGCCCTCGTGAAAGCACAACGTGCCTCCCCACCCACTTCAGACTAGAGTGGATGCCCTTAAACTGTGGAATTCTGGCCACATTACTCAAACTTCTGGGCGCTTCCCTGTAACTTTAGGGAGTATCATTTCTTTTAGTTCACACCCTCTGCACCCAGAGTGTTTGGATTCATACATTGTTTTCTTCCTTGTCACCTGAAATACTCTAGCACTTGGTAAGCATACTACATATCTCTGAGAGATGATAGATTTTTGTTTTGTTTGTAAAGAAAAGAAAATGAACATTGCAGTGGTCCAAATTCCCATAATGAACTTTTCCCAGTGTTCCTCATCATTTGGGATATAGGGCATTTTCATGCTGAAATATACTGCCTGCTGTGTTCACTACTCATTGGCTGCCCAGGCCTTCCCAGGAGACATACCACATTTTCTTTATCGAGGGCACTCAGGAAATCCAGGGGTTACTCTTCATCCTTCATTAGTTCTCTGCCTACTTAAATTGTCTGTTGCCCACAGCTCTCCTCAAATACTTGAGATTTACCAGAAAGTAGCTTGAGTATTCATTTCCTCATTGAACCAGGGACTGAGAAGTCATTCCTTTCCCTGACAGCTGCCAACACAGGCAGTTTCATTTGAACTGTAAAGAGTCTTCATGCCATAGGAAGGACTGCACATCCATACGTATTTTGGGAGCTGGGGGATAAAGCACCAGAGGGTAAGACTGTCGGGGGTCATGGTATATGCCTTGCCTGATGACATCATATGAAGCATTGAGCTGGTCAACACTTAGGACTGGTGTGATTCCTGATCTCCCAACTGGATTCAGAGAACTGTGAGGCACAGTGCCTGCCCCCAAGCTGAGCAGTGACATAAGCACTATAGAATTGAAGAACAGTAGAACTTTGAACAGTGTAAAGTGATGATAATGCAGACTGCAAGATTTACTAACCTCAAATGCACTATCTAGGTGTGATTCGCTCTGGGGGGTTCAGGAGCTAGAGGTAATCCCTTCAGGCTAAAGTGGTTGGAGAGAATGTAGAACTTTCACTGTGACTTGAAACTTAAAGAAAGCAGAGTGGATGGTGAGAGGGGCTTTTCAGGTCAGGACAACGGCAGGAAAAAGCTTAGAAAAGTGAAAAGGTGGTTAAACCCAGAGGCTAGCAATTTGGCTTCTCCATCCAGGAATTCCCTAACCTCTCATTAGCTCAGGGTCAGCAAACTTCTTAAAGGACCAGAGAGTACGTATTTTAGGAGTTGTGGGTTATATGGTCTCTGTCACAACTCAAGTGCCCCTACAGTGTGAAAGCAGTCACAGACCTACATAAATGAGTGGGTGGGGCTGTGTTCCAGTGAGACTTTATTTATGGGTGCAGAAATTTGAATTTCGCTTAATTTTTTGTGTCACAAAATATTTTTTTTTTGGTTGTTTTTCAACCAGTAAAAAATGTAAAAACCATTCCTAGCTCATAGGTTCTACAAAAAATAATCACGACCCCTGATTTAGCTCACTAACATGATAAATCAGGAGTATGTTATGCAAATTGAGTATAAACATACAGAGTAGAAGATCCAAAATTTGAAAGCTGTGGGAGCTGTATACAGGTTTAAGTAGTTGGCACATATTGCCACAGTATTTAAATCTGTAAATAAATATTTGAAAAAGCCAAGAGTCAAAATAATACCTCAGCCCACACCATTGCATTTTTTAATAATCTTAGAAAGGAGGACAATTTAGTGGTTAGATATTCTTGCTAATGAATAGAGTTCTATTTAGCCAGTGTTCTCCTAAGAGCAGTTTATATTCTGACAACAGCTGTGGACTTACTGGAATGCAGCCTTTAGATAGTGTGGTAGTCTGGTTGCATATTCATCATTAACTGCCGGATTTCTTCTGCAGGGATGGTCTACATGGCTGGGCTCGTTTTTGCTGTCGGTGGCTTTAATGGCTCCTTGAGAGTCCGCACTGTAGATTCCTATGACCCCGTGAAAGATCAGTGGACCAGCGTTGCAAACATGCGGGACCGGAGAAGCACTTTGGGGGCCGCTGTATTGAATGGATTGTTATATGCCGTGGGAGGCTTTGATGGCAGCACAGGTAACTTCCTTTTGGTCTTTTCTACGTTGCATTAGAATTAACATAGCAGTCAAGTTTAGGGAATAAACTGTGGCAAAATTAGGAGACATTTGAGTGTTTAAAGGTATTATAAAGGTAAGTTTAAAATCTCCCATCAAGAGTTCTTATAAGGGGCGCCTGGGTGGCTCAGTGGGGTCAGCGTCTGCCTTGGGCTCAGGTCATGATCCCGGGATCCTGGGATCAAGTCCCGCATTGGGCTCCCTGCTTGGCAGGGAGCCTGCTTCTCCCTCTCCCTCTGTGTGCTCACTCTCTCTCCCTCTCTCAAATAAATAAATAAATCTTTTTAAAAAAAAAGAGTTCTTTTAAATAATGGAAGAGTACTAAGTATATAAATTTCCTTCTTTATGCATATCACCATCAGTCCTCTTATCACATTTAAAAAGCTAAGAAATGTCAGTAGCTTGGGTAGGAGCCCTGGGGAAAAGAGGCTAGTCCTATGTATCATGTAATTGATATGTTTACATTCCAGCATTTTCCTCTTTTAATTTAGTCCAATTTAACATAACCTGAAGTACTCTTCCCTAATAATATATATAAAGGAACAGTCACCTCACTTTTTTTTTTTAGAGGAGGAAGTGAAGAGCATTGTGCTTTATTACAGGTTTATCATCCGTGGAAGCATATAATATAAAGTCTAATGAGTGGTTTCACGTGGCTCCAATGAACACAAGGAGGAGCAGCGTAGGTGTCGGTGTTGTTGGAGGTGGGTGCTGACAGTCGTTTCGGGTGAACCTTTCCAGGCACGGATGGCTTCTTGATTGCTCCGAGGGATTCTTCCAATAACCTAAACACCAGTTTTCTAAATGGGCAAGCAAACGATCATTTAAACAAGGAAAGGAAAAGCCATTGTCAACTTGTATTATTTTTTAAAAATGAGCTTGTGTATATAAACTAAGTTGTGGAAGCCCTCGTTCTCCCCCTCCTCCTTCTCTCCCTCTGTCCTCTTCTTCACCCCTTTCTCCTCTCTCTCTCTCTGTTTGTAACCTATATAAAACTGTTAACTGATCTTAATTCAGTTGTTTAGGGAACAAATCAGATGACATGTGCAAAATTTTACTTCTGGAGAAAGGCTGTTTCACATTTAAGAGAATGGGTTGCCACAATTATTTATTTATATCCTACCTTGTCCACCAAAAGAGCTTAAGAAAGGCTGTAACTATTATTTTTTGGTGTGATTTTTTTTTTTTTAATCTGCTTGGGCAGATTTGTGGGTTCTCACTCTCTCCCTACTATTGGTATAATTCTTTGTACTAACTTTTTTTAAAAACAACTTTATTGCAATATAATTCACATACCATACAATTCACCCATTTAAAGTGTACAATTCAATGTGCACACATCACCACAATTCATTTTAGAACATTTTTATTCCCCCAAAAAGCAGCCCCACTCCCCTTATCTGTCACCCCCATCTCCCCAGACCTCAGCAGCCACTAATCTACTTTGTCTCTATATAAATTTCCCATTTTTGGACATTTCATATTAATGAAATAATACAGTATGTGATCTTTTGTGACTGGCTTCTTTGATTGAAAATAATGTTTTCTGGGTTCATCTGTGTTGTAGCATTTACTAGTACCTCATTTCTTTTTATCACCAAATAATATTCTACTGTATACTGGTACTAATTCTTGATTTAACTTTTTTTCCCATTTTACTAAGATTACCAGGATATTTAATTCTGTTTCCTACGATGTTGTTCACTTACCAAATAATATTATCCAAAGATGCAATGAGTGTACTTTGTTTTATTATTCAGATTTATTAATGAAAATATTAAATTAATATCATCAAATATACCCTGCAGATCTTCATAATGTGGTTTGGTAACTTCTTCGATCACCATTAGGCAAGATCTTTATAGTTTATAAAAATTGGTAATAAAAGGGAAACTGCTACTCTGGAGGAAAATACTTTATGCCTTGAAAAAATAGCTTTTTATGAATTTGGCTTTCTTTGTGATTCCATGTTTAGGTTTGCTCTATGCTGTAGGGGGGTATGATGGAGCTTCACGTCAATGTCTTAGCACAGTAGAATGCTATAATGCTACAACAAATGAATGGACCTATATAGCAGAAATGAGCACCAGACGGAGTGGAGCCGGTATGTAGGAAACTCATTTAGATTAAAGCACAAAAATGAGGGGCGCCTGGGTGGCTCAGTCGTTAAGCGTCTGCTTTCAGCTCAGGTCATGATCCCAGGGTCCTGGGATCGAGCCCGGCATCGGGCTCCCTGCTCCATGGGAAGCCTGCTTCTCCCTCTCCCACTCCCCCTGCTTGTGTTCCCTCTCTCGCTGTGTCTCTCTCTGTCAAATAAATAAATAAAATCTTTAAAAAAAAGCCAAAAACACAAAAATGTTGGAAAAGAATTAATAAACAAGTGAAATGATTCATTGGCTTCTCTTTATATTACCAGAAAACATATATACTGATTTTAATGACATTGTTAAATGTCTTTTGAATTAATTATCTATAATTAAAGATCACTTTGTAAAATTCCTAAGTGCTGTATTAAAGGCTTCTTGTATCACTTAATTATTTATATTTTTTGGCATTCTTTGAGTTTTTGTTCTTAGTTCTTATCGAACTTCATAATCAAGTCTCTTCATATCCATTTCTTACAAGTTTTGTGCTTTAATACTGGTTTGCTTTTACCGTGAAAGTTGTTTTCAGAAGGATTATGTTAAATGACTTTCCTCTCTGTGTTTCATCCTCATACTATTTTTTATTTTATTTGACATGCCTTTCTTAGAATAATAGTTCTTATTGAGATTCTCATTTGTCAAATCAATTCATTTCCATTTCTTGTGTGCTTTAATATTGACTTACTTTTATAAGTCATTTGAATAAACCCTAGTATGTTACAAATTTGTCACTTTTACTCTACTGTAGTTTGGTTTTTGTGTTTTATAGGTGTTGGCGTGTTAAACAACTTACTGTATGCTGTTGGGGGTCATGATGGTCCTTTAGTACGAAAAAGTGTTGAAGTGTATGATCCTACCACCAATACATGGAGACAGGTTGCAGATATGAACATGTGCAGAAGAAATGCAGGTATCTGTCTAGCTTACGATTATGGAATTTTTATTGATTTGTATTCAGAGTTTTACTAGTATTGTCGTATATTTTCATTCTTTTACTGATTTGGGTTTTCTAATAGATGAGCTCTTTAAAAACAAACTTATGTAGTAATCCTATATAGTGAATGCCTAGCATAGTGGCTACTTTTTGGTAATAATGTAGACTAAATTAGAGGAAGAGCCCTCTATATTTGATGCTTAAATTCATCTATTCTTACCATAGATATTTTTGAGTGCGTACCATGTATCATGTACTGGAGATCCCAATCCTCAGGGAATTTAGTCTGGTTGAGTAAATATTTATACCAGGTTAAAAGCTCGTTGTTTATCTTGAAGCTTGAAGAAGCTAACCCTAATTTAATATAGTTCATGATTTCTAAAGTTAGAAAAGCTAAAACAACATATCAACAATAAGTAATTTTTTTAAAGATTTATTTATTTGAGAGAGAGAGCGAACATGAGCAGGGGGAGGGGCAGGGGGAGAGGAAGAGAAATCCTCAAGCAGACTCCCTGCTGAGCATGGAGTCCGACATAGGGCTTGATCCCAGAACACTGAGATCATGACCTGAGCCGAAATCAAGAGTCGGACACTTAATCGACTGAGCCACCCAGGTGCCCTACAACAGCAAGTAATTTTAAGAAAGCTGAGGTCTTCACGATTAGGGAACTAACTACTTAAAAAGAAGACCTATGGAAGGGAAATAGAAATGGAAAATAGATTCAGGATAGCTAAATAGTCTTTTCAGGAAATGCGAGTCATCTTTTAAAAGCCATTATCTTCATGCCATTTCCCATAGTCCAAAATAAGTTCCTCTTGATTCTCAAACTCACTGTACACCACTGGATGATTTTGCAAGATGCACCCTCCATCCCCCCCAAAATGCTCTTCTTAATTTCTCTTTATTTTTAAAAAATTTCTAATTAAGTGATGTGATTGTGAGGGGAAACTAAGTATGTGGGACTGCAAGGATCTTTCCCTTCATCCAATTAATTGTATTTGGTGAGGTACTAAAAATCTCTTGGCTATAGATAGTCAAGAACCATGATAAGACCCACAAATCTGGGCCCTAAATAGAGTAAGTGCTTGACCCTAATACATATTAGATTAGAAAAGCCACAGTAATATGTGCATGTGCCTTGCTGGATTGGGAAATTTATTTGCATTTTGAGCTTTCATTATTTTCCTAAACACTGGAATAGTCTGATTTTTTTCCCCTCTACCTGTATTTTATTGTTTTCAAATCAAAATTAGCTCATTTCTTCTAGCTAGAAGAATAAAGCAGTAATTTGTGTATGTAGAACT